AAAGAAGGATGAGTGCATCCAGTGACAAACTTACCATAATGCCAGATAATTTTTATTTTTATTTTTGGCAATACTGGGGTTGAACTTAAGGTTTCTTTACCTTTTGGGACCCCTGTCCCTCTGCCTTTGTTTTTTTAATTGGTTCTAGGGCTTGAACTCAGGGCCTGGGCACTGTCTTTGAGCCTCTTTACGTTCAAGGCTAGCACTCTACCACTTGAGCCACAGAACCACATCTGGATTTTTTGGAGTAGTTGATTGGAGATAAGAGTCTCACAGACTTTCCTGCCCAGGCTGGCTTTGAACCACCATCCTCAGATCTCAGTCTTCTGAGTAGCTAAGATTACAGGTGTGGTCAACAGTGCCCAGCTAGCCTCTTCCCTTTTTAAATAGTGTCTTATGTTTATTTCTGGGCTGGTTTGGCCATAATCATCCTAGTTAGGCTTTTAGCATAGCTGAGATGACCGGCATGCATCACTGTGCCCCAGCTTTTTATTGGTGGAGATGAGGTCTTGCAAATACTTTTGGCCAGGACTGGCCTCCCCACTGTGATCCTCCTGACTTATGCCTCTGACGTTGTGAAGATTATAGACATGATCTAGTAGATCCTGTCCTATGTATTCCTTGGATATTCCATAAGTACTCTTCAGGGTTTGAACATGAACCCCAGTCATGAGGAATGTGAGTGTGTTCTCTTTTGGCCTGGGGGTGCTGACTGAAGGCGCAGGGAGGCCTTCGGGGACTCCTGGGTGGGGCCTCCGGTGTTGCTCCTTCTGTTCTGGAAGAAGCTGGGCATTCATTCAGCAGATGTCTATGGTGGGTCTGCTGGGTCCCATCTTGACCTGAGCTACAATGGAAATGACAAAGTTGGGAAAGGCCCTGCCCTCCCGGAACTTATCTGTGAAAGAAGGCAGAACAGCACACGCAGCCGTTTAGGGTTAAGGCTGTGATGCAAACTTGTTTTAGATTTGCTCTGGCCTTGTCTTTTCAAGGGATTTGAGGCAGAAAAGAAACCAAACATAATGAAGTTGTTAGAATATAAATAAGACACAGAAATCAAGCTGAAGGAAGTACATGAATTAGAAAGGCACAGAACTGAGGAAGAAAAATCCATAGTTATGAAAGTCATAAGGATCCACTTGAACTGAACCTCAGGTTTGGCATTGAGTATCCTGGCAGCCATATTGAAAAGGGAAATATGGTTAGTTACAAAGCACTTACAGTCAGAAAGGAAAAGACCAGTTCCTCAGGGAAAGAAAGTCTTTCCTAACACTTGGCTCTTGACAACATGTCTCACGCACAGCTTCCTTCCGATGGTCTCTAAGAGTATTCCTATAGTGACTACAAAAGTAGATTATATAAGACAGGGCTGTAAAAAGTGCTCAGTGAGGACTGGAATGGTGGCTCAGTGGTAGAGTGCATGCCTAGCATGCATGAGGCCCTGGGTTCAATTCCCCAGCATCATATAAGCAGAAAAAGCCAGAAGTGGTGCTGTGGCTCAAGTGGTAGAGCGCTAGCTTTGAGCTGAAGAGCTGAGAGACAGCACCCAGGCCCAGAGTTCAAGCCCCATGATCAACCTTCCCCACCCCAAAAAAGTGCTCAATGAAAGCGAGGGCATACAATAAAAGGCAATTGGCTAAGTCCCTGTCTGTCAGGAGCAGGTGGGCCATTCGATTGGGACCCAGTATAGGCCAGTTGAATCTATGGCTAAAGTTAGAATACCTGGATGGAGGGCTAGAACACCCTGAGAACATGCGTCATGAACTGTATTTCTCTGTACTGAGTTTTTTCTGGGATAGGGGTGAAGAGTAAACTGGTCATTGTGTACATAATGTAGTGGTTTTTATCAGAAGTCATCTGGGTATTGGATATTTTAGGGCTTGTGGACCAGATGATCTATCATAACTAACTGTTGTAATGCACAGGCAGTCATGCCAATGCATGCCAGAAACATGATTATGTCCCAGGAAATTTTTTTTATCAGTCATGGGGCCTGAACTCTGGGCCTGGGCGCTGTCCCTCAGCTCTTCAGCTCAAGGCTAGTGCTCTACCACTTGAGCCACAGTGCCACTTCTGGCTTTTTCTGCTTATGTGGTGCTGAGGAATTGAACCCAGGGCCTCATGCATGCAAGGCAAGCAGACTACCACTGAGCCACCTTCCCAGCCCCAGTGTGCCAGTAAGACTTGATTTACAAAAGTAGGTGGCAGGTTAGATTTCCCCTGCAGGCAGTATATTGCCAACCCTTGGACTAACCTAAGAAGAGAAAGGAAAATGACTTTCTAGTTTGGTTTTCATTGGAGTTAAGGAATGGCTAGCATTTGGCAAGCCTTGTTCGGTGGTGACTTTGGCCTTGCTGTTTAATGGATAGTAAGTGATGCTTCTTGCTGGAAAGAGCAAGGCTTGTTCTTGGGTTGGAAATTCATCAGGCGCTGTGAAGACGTATGCAGGTCCCAAAGTAATCCAATCCAAATATTTGCCCATGAAAGTGGCACTTGCTGGGGGTTATTGAAGCACTGAAATGGGGCGGGTCTAAAGAGCCTTGGATTCCAGGTGGTGAAGGGCACTCATGATTGTCCACACTTGGACCATCTCCCAAATAACAGAACTCCATTGAGATCTCATGGTTGGTGTCCTGGAAAAGAGAGAAGAGGTGGAGCTATCTCCAATGGTCTGGTGTGTATGTGGCCCACACCTCTTGTCATCTTTTCAAGTGCAAAATTATCCTGCCTACCAGATGTTGATTGCAACCATCAATCACTTATGACTGTAGCAAATAATATAACCAATAAGAGGATGGCTACCCTCATGGGATCTCATTGTATAAAGGCTTAGTTATGAGCAGATGACACATGGTGATGGTTTGTTGCAATTTGAATTCTGAAGTCCTTCCCATTGGCCATAAACAAGTCTAAGAGGTCAATTGTGTAATAGAGGCTGAGTGTGGAAGGTCATCAGAAGAGGTGACCTCAAGTTATTTGTCATCTGCAACAACAGGTGTGTAATATGTCAGTCTTAGAATTGCTCTAACCAGTGATTGGATAAGCCATCCATGGTTTGTATCAGTTTTAGATTGGTATGACAGTAAAAATGTAGGCTTAAATAAATGCAGCTTCCAAAGAGTTTGTGAAAAATAAAACAACCACTGACAACAAAAACATTGCTGTAGCTGGGCTCCAGTGGCTTACACCTGTAATCCTAGCTACTTCAGATGCTGAGATCTGAGGATTACAGGCAGGGAAGTCCTGAGATTCACATCTAGATTTAACCAACACAAAAGCCAGAAGTGGAGGTATGGCTCAAAAACACCAGGCTTTAGCAAAAAAGCCAAACTACAGGGCTAGTATCACCCCTCCCCCACAAAAAGTAAAACCATTGCTGAGAACTTCGGGGGCTTTGTTATTGTTAGTTTGGACATAATTTGGTACATGTTGCTCTTTGAATCCTAGATCATTCATTCATTCTCTCCATTTTGTTGACTATTCCTCTCTCCAGCAGCAAAAAGTAGTTAAGAAAATGGCTTCTGATTATTATAGTGGACAGTTCCAGGCTTATGGATGGCAAATTCTGTATCTTCATATGCTCAGGACTTAGCCCAGTTCCTAACCCATAAGGACCAATGTTTAGTGGTCAATGAATGAATCCCAAATTCTGTCTTCCTGTTCACAAAGCTATAGAGTAACTGGTTGCCAGTTAAGGAAATGGCTCTTATTTGTTTTGGTTGAACCACTCTAAAAGACCATAGCATTTGGTGTGGGAATGGGGACAGAATTTGCCTATACAAGCTGAAGGCTATTCAGAGAGAATCACAGAGCCTGATCCCTCCCTCCCCCAAGGCTCACCAGGTGGGATAGAGGTAAGAAATGTAGTCAGACTTATGCAGCAGATATGATACAATTGTAATAACAGATTATTATTCATAAGCAAGATTTGAAGCCAGAGAGGGCTCAGAGACAGATTGCTTAGGAAAAAGGTCTGATAACCAAACCCCCTGAGACATGTTCTCAGACATCTACCTGACATTTTATTCTTTATTTTTCCTTCCCCTGGGCCCAGGCAATATTCTTATAGACAAGAATTACTTTATGACTCAGGAGACAAGTTTTCCTTCAGCAGATTTTAGGATCTGATCTTATGGTCATGATTTTTAAATATCCCTTGTCACTGAAGGGTAGAAAGATAGACATTAGGGACATTGAGCAACAACAACAAATGAATCTTAGGCAGCAATAGTAGGTGTGGCCACAGCTCTGTTCTCATCTCACCCTGGTAGCTAGGACTAACAGACCAGAAGGAAGGAGCGCTAGATGGGACCCGCAGAGCTTGGCATTTTGTTATAGGGCTCTATTGTTACCAGAAGAATATAGGAATGGGAGGAAGAAGAGGAAGGGGGGTGGGAAATGAACTTCAACATTATGTTGAAGCAGCCTTAACCTTAACATGGGTAAGTTTTTGGAATGGTGGTGCACACCACCCAAACATGCCAATCTCAGCATTTGAAGGCAGAGGCAGAAGCTGAAGCGTGTGAGTTCAAGGTCATCCTGGGGTACATAGTGAGACCCTATCTCAAGAATCAAAGCAAAACAAAACAGGGTCATTTTTCTTATTGACTACTCAATAAATGGCTTACTCCCATTGCATCCAGAGAACTTAGACCTAATGAACTTTGGCTCTGGGAACATTTGCTAAATGTCTTCCTATTCTTGTTACCTCTACGTTCTGATGCTCATGGTACCAAGACCAAGAAAACCTGAGCATCTGTTCCTTGTTTTGCTCCTAACCTCCCACTAACATCAGCCAAAGAGCAGCAGAAACAGAATAAAGACACAAAAGATACCTTAAGGAGCTTTTAACTTTACCACATAGCCCAACTTGAGGTCTGACTAGAAGTTGTCATCACCTTGATGAGTTTTAGATCATAGAGTGACTCCGATGTCCATGGAAGGTATCATTCCTGTGTTGTTCATTCTTATTCATTCGTTCATTTGGATGTTCTCCATCTCAGGGTTTGAGGATCATTTTCTCCGATGCATCAAGACTCATCTTCCGGCTCAGTTCCTCCAGTGGTGTGCGGGCCACCATCAGACTCTATGCGGAGAGCTACGAAAGGGACCCCAGTGGCCATGACCAGGAGCCTCAGGTATAACTTAATGGGTATCTCATCATCCCTAGAAAATGGAGAGTGCTCTCCGCGTTCTTATATCTGGAAAGATAGCATTGAGAGTGCTGACTGAAGGCAAGTTGAGTGTGACTTTGAATACATTTAAGTCCCACTTTGCAGTGTTTAAAACAGAATCCTGCTGGGCACCAGTGGCTCACACCTGTAATCCTAGCTACTCAGGAGGCTGAGATCTGAGGATCGTGGTCCAAAGCCAGCCTGGGCAAGAAAGTCCATGAGACTCTATGTGCAATTAACCACCAGAAGACCAAAAGTGGTGCTGTGGCTCTAGTGGTAGAGCGTTCCCCTTGAGCTGAAGAGCAGAGGGACAGCGCCCAGGCCCAGAGTTCAACCCCCATGACCTACAAAAAACAAACAACCAAAACACCAGAAACCTATCACTCCCTTCGCATCTATAGTAACATCACAACATTTCCCAAACAACTCGTGCTCTTCTACAGTAAGTGACAGTAAGAAAAGGCATGTGTAAAGATGAATTAAAATTCAGGGTTAAAGCAGGAGCAGGCAGAGCAGGTGGCAGCCTTCCTTCCTGGGCCTTTCCTTTAACCATCACAGGCTTTCCATGCTGAAGATAAGGGTTACGCTGCCAGAATCATTTGCTAGTGAGTACATTTTGCCCAAGATAGTACCAAATCATGCCATAAGTAGATAGGGGCTTACCCTTTCTTTCCGAATAAAACTCTGTTCGGTGTCTCCTGTTGGGAAAGGAGATTAAAGGGAAAGGCCTGCAAGTCCAGGGGTGCATACCGGGTAGGAATATTCCTGGCCTTTCTAGCTCTGACTCACTCTGACTTGGATCTATTTTTTTCCCTCAGCATTCTTTTCCCTATTTGCCCAGGGTAAGTGCTTATGATACTTGCCTATATTTCTATTTATTCATTTACCATTCTCCCTGAACTAAGCCTAGAACCATTAGCCCTGGGTGAAACCAATTCTATACCCAAATGAGTCTGTCTCTGAGGTGGTCCATAAAGCAAAGTAGTGGTTTTTATAAAGCTTACGTTGAAGCCCCACAGCTCCCTAGGCCTGCTTTCAGAAGGCTATGTGAGTAAAGCAAGCATAAGCTCTGCTCTTCTAGTCTCTACTACTACGTATTTTTCACCCTGTTAGTGTAGAGTTTGTCAGTTTGAATGGCTTGGGGAACGCTTCTTGAAGTTGTTCTTCTGACCACTAATATTCTCCTACTCTAACCATGAGGACCTAATTAGGTAGGCCTGTATTCTCAGTGCATGATCTAGCTAAAAAATTTGTATTAAAATTGAACTCCTTACTAAAATAGCATATATTATTGACTCACTAACTTATGCCCTATTGCACAATATATTGGGGTCAGGATACAGAATAGACAATTGTAAGAGAAATAAACCCCTGAAAGGAAGAGAAAACGGCTCAGCAGGCCTACCTGTGCTCCTCATTGCCTAGCCCCAGCTAGCCTTGACATCCAAGTATTTTGAGGCTTTTTGTTTTTGTCAGTCATAGGGCTTGAACTCAGGGCCTGAGAGCTGGCACTGAGCTCTTTCACTCAAGGCTACTTGAGTCACAGCACCACTTCCAGTTTTATAGTGGTTAATTGGAGATAAGTGTCTCCTGGACTTTCCTGCCCATGCTGGCTTCAATTTGCTATCCTCAGATCTTAGCCTCCTGAATAATCAGGATTATAGGCATCGGCCACCAGTGCCTGGCTCCTTTTGAGACTTCTTATTTTGAGGAAAGTGGTTGTTTCCAGTGCCACCTGCCTATCTTCCTAGGGCTGAGGGAGGAAAAGGTGTTGGTTAATTGTTAACAAAGATCAAGGATAAGATACACTCAGAGAGTAGTGTGGTACTTACTAGTGTCGATTCAGGGCTTAACAGGCCAAGACTAGTTTGTATTGCTCTCCCAGCTGCAGAGAGAACCCTGTCTACCTTTTCAGCTTGTTCTTGCTTGCATCCTGGAAAGCCATGTACACTCATTATCCATTAAAGTAAGTCACCTGTAGAGATTCCATCCGTAATTTTCACCCACTTCAGCAGGTTGTTCTTAATGCATGTTTTACCTGCCCTAACCCAGTAGTCATAAACATCCAAGAGAACAGAAAGTTTCCCAACAGGCTTATTGATATCGAGCTATTTCCCTTAGCACAGAGAATCATTTCCTTTTGAGACATTTAAAAATATATGTGAACATACTTATGTTTTAAACCCGTACATTGGCAGTCTCCTGCAAATCTTAATTACTATCCCAATGCTTCAACTGAGGATAGAGGCAATATGTATGTGAATCTCCACCCCCTACATGTAGCTTTTCAAAAATTCAGCCATTTATTTTAAGGTGATGTCAAATTAATTTCTTTTGTACCCCTACATGTAGATTTTCTGTGATGAAGCCACTTGTTTTAAGATGATGTCAAGTTAATTTTTTACCTACATAAATTAAAAAAAAATTGTGCTGGTATGGGGCCTTGAACTCAAAACCTTGTGTTCACACTTGGGTTGCTTGCTCACAGCTGCTGTTCGATCACTTGAACCAGGCTTCCAGCCCAGCTTTTTGCTACTTAATTGGAGAGAGATCCTCAAGGAGGATCAAGCTTCCTGAATAGCTAGGATTGTAGTTATGATCCATCAATGTCTGGCTTATATAAAAATATGTTAAAACTCCTATTTACTTATGAGTTGGTGATAAGTAGAGGAAAGACATGGGCGGGCCTAGAGGAGATAAGGGGTTTGTGTTGCCCTCTGTTCTTGACCTATCAGGAAGGAAAGCAACTAAAGGTTGATGGCTGGAAAGTTACACAGTTTTTCAACTGGGAGATTGATTTTACTGGCAGTCAGTAGGCCTTCAATGAGCTCTCAAACCGGCTGGTAATAATTTGGAAATAAAAAAAGGTTGAGCCAAAATGATTTTAATTCACAGGTAACCAGAAACAGTCCAATGGTTTCCATCTTCTATTCTTTCCCATCTTATTAGAAGGACTGCTAAATTCACTTTGAATTTGCCTTCTCCCCTTGTCCTTCTGAACCCATGGGTGGAGTAACTAATGAACAATGGAAGATCCAAAAGGAAAAGTTGGTTCACGACTAGGATAATTACAGACTGATAATCAGCAAGGGACTAATCAACTGTTGGCTTTGATACTTTTGTCATAGGATATAACCCCACCCAATCGTCCAGAGTCCTTGGGAGAGACTAATTTCCTTCAACATTCCTGACAATGGATGAATTTATGTATTTCTGATTAACTGCTCCTAGAAAATGTTGAGGACTTACCTAAGTCCCTCTGGATTTGTTTCGTCTGTCAAACCAAAAGCCATCTTGCCATTTTGTCCCTGCCTTATAAAGTCTTAGGAATTTGTAATGCAGAAATAGAGAGGGCTGAGCTATTTTTGGTTTATGTAGAGATAACATATAAACCCAGATACTTCAGAAAGTGAAGAAGGACACCATGAATATTTATGTTGAGACTGTCCCCAATAAGTCAGGAGACTTGGCTTCTGCAGAGTGACAGGTCTGTTTAGAGACAGGATTCTGAGAAACAGGGGCCCACCCAGGTGCACAACACTGTTTAGATGAAAGGATCTCCACCCAGACGGCACATCCAAATGACTTAGAAGGTTGGGTGGAAATATCAAGGCTTGGGGCCACTCTCAGAGATTCTAGTTATATTGTTCTGAGATGTTATATAAAAGCTTCTCACACTTTACTTACCTACAACTAAGCACTCAGAGAATCAATGAACCTTGGCATAACCATCAGGATTCCTCCTGTCAGGGAGATGTTGAGTAAAATAGGTTATCATTTTTAAAGTATCTGTCATTATAAGACTACTCTAGCGACTTTACATAGATCTGTTATATTCATCATTCCATTTCCTCCCACGCAGGGTTAGCATCCTACAGCCCTGACTCAGTGGAACTATTGAGACCCATGGAAAAGATCCTTTCTAGACGGGAGAGTCAAACTAGATCTTTGTTATAAGATACCCTGTTGTCCATACTAATGGTTAAGGTCCATGAGAGAGGATATTTCTTCCTACCTGTGCCTGAGTGCACGGTATGTTGGCAGACCTAGTTTTATTATTAGATTTGTCTTGTCATACGAACCAATTCTTTTGATTCTCTGGGTGTCAACAATTCAGTTCAATTCCATTCAGTCCAGTTCAGTTCACTTCTGACGCAGTCTGAAATTAGCTCAGACCCCAGTCTGAGCTGGTTAGGCCCCAGTCTTTCAAGACCATGCCTACATTAGATGCTAGTCCCATCTCTCCCATGCCAACTGCAAATTTAGGGCTTATTTTATGATCCTCCTTCAGGTTCAACAGTTCACTCAAATGATCCACCAGCATTCAGCAAGGGGTTTTACTGGTTATAAAGGACACAGCTTGGAAACAGCCACATGGAAAAGAAGCACAGAGCAAGATGTAAGGAAGGATGTGGCAGATTGAGATACTCTGTGCCTCTCTAGACTGAACAGTCTTTCAGTACTATAATGTGTTCCACATCGGTGGAACAGAGCAGCCAGTTCTCCAAATCCTATTATTTAGCAAGTTCTGGAGGTTTCGGTAGCCAGGGATGATGGATGAAATCATGGATTCACCCTTCTTCAGGCCCTTCTTTCCTTCCCTGAAGCCAGGACCTGCAGCTCAAAGTTCCAACTCTCTGCCTGGGTAGTACCTTTAGCAATCAGCCTCTAACCTGAAGTCTCCCAAGAGTTGCTTCGTTAGTTTAACATCAGATATGGTTGGAGTGTGAATGACAAAAAAGAACCACTCTGTACCAGGAACTGGGGACAAAGCCCAAATGTAATTTTTTTAATTGTGAAAATACTGTACAGAGGGGTTACAATTACATGGGCAAGATAATGAGTACATTTCTTATCAAGCATTGTAGCCTCCTCCTTTGTTTCCCC